ATTATAACTCTCAAATTTGTTTTCCAGGGTAGGGAAAGGGCGATGAAAATGCTGAAGAACATGCTTAATGAGAGACGGAAAACCCAACGGAAGAATCCGAGCGACTTTTTTGATTATGTCCTCCGAGAACTGCAGAAAGAGGGGTCAATATTGACAGAAGAAATTGCACTAGATTTGATATTCTCCATGCTTTTCGCCAGCTTCGAAACAACTTCTCTGGCTTTAACTTTAGCCATCAAATTTCTTTCGGATTACCCTTCAGCTCTGAAACGTTTAACGGTAGGAAAAACCTCATTGTTCCGTCACTCCTATAAGACAAAATGATGAAATTTTGGTCATCCATTTTCTCCCCTATGCAGGAGGAGCATGAGGGTATTTTGAGAAACAGGGAAGTTTCGGACTCTGGACTTACCTGGGAAGAATACAGATCGATGACCTATACTTTTCAGGTACCTCTAGAAATCCAATAAATATCGTGAATACTCTACGCATGATCACACAAATCTTCTAACCAAATGTTCAATTCTAAATGCAGTTCATAAACGAAACAGCTAGATTGGCAAATATAGCTCCTGTGCTTTTTAGAAAAGCGTTGGAAGATACCCAGTTCAAGGGTAAGAATAAGCAAGATGCAGAAAAGATCTATTTAGTTTAACTTGGTGACTTAAATTGTACATTTATGACAAAGATTTAGCGAGGATGATGCAGGTTATACCATTCCAGCGGGCTGGGAAGTGGTTATCTGTCCTCCTGCTGTCCATTTGAATCCAGACATATATGAAGATCCTCTTGTCTTCAACCCTTCAAGATGGGAGGTGAGTCAAACGTCTTATAACCTTTTACCAAAAGGAATCTGAAAAATATCAGCAACTTTAAAATGGAACTACACAGGGATCGGAAACCAGTAACGCATCAAAGCATTTCATGGCATTTGGTGGAGGAATGAGGCTCTGTTCAGGGACAGATTTCGCCAAATTGGAAATAGCTGTATTCATTCACTGCCTGATCACAAAGTTCAGGTTTGAATACAATCCCTCACTAAGTTACCCCTTTCATGTACTCAAGGAGAAGCTGATTGTAGTTATCGACCTTTGAAACATTGCAGGTGGAATAAGATCGGACGAGGAGATGCAATTCGAAGCCCCGGATTACAGTTTCCAAATGGTTACCATATTCAACTCGCACCGAAAGAGACTGCATAGAGTTATAGAATAAACAAGCCTGCAAGTGACAGGGCTGCTCGCTCAATAAATACAAGCATGGCATATGTGAAAGACGAATAAAATGTACTTTACCATTCTCAAATGGAAAAGCTAAATTCTACAATACGTTGTTTCTTACTCCTCCAACACAATATTATCACAACAAGGGCTTCGATACAACCCCGTGTACTCTTACTTCAAGACTCTATTTTTCTGCAAATCAACCTCCTCTGGTTCACAGTTCATCCCGAACTAACCAACATCATAGACAACAAGCACGAAACTCAATGTCTAATGTTTGTTCTGTTTTTGGTAAATGAGATTGAGAAAGAGAAGATTTCACCCAAAGGATCAGTGAAAATGTAGCTTAACACTCCCAAATGGAACAGTAAGATTCTGTGATGGGGCTTTATTAATCCCCCGTCCCTTCACCTCATAAATGATCTTGATGTTCGAAATGAATATGCATTATGCACATCAGCCCCTCGTCACTTTCGTTTTGAACGAACCCCAGTGTTGGCGGAATAAGTGAAGAAGTGGACGAAGCTGGGAACGGCCCAAAGGACAAGTTCATCCTAAACTTACCGAAACCAGAGACAATAGCCAGATTCAATGGAAGATGCCACAAAAACAACATAACACGACTTCATAGGTTTTTGGTTGAATCACCAACTCCTCCATTGTTCTAATTCTGCAACAAACGGCAGAATCTCACTCAACCAACCAAGCCTACCATAGAACAAATGCAGAAGAAATGTATGGATCTCATTCAAAAATTTAGATAGAGAGCGACAAGAAGAAATCCACAACGACACTGATCAAATGGAGCTACCGAATTCAAAAAGCCAAATACAAGATGAGAGATCACATCGCGGATCAATGGCGAAGAAGAATCCTCGCCGCCGTTGTACGGACATCGGATATTGACAGAGGAGGCGACGACGGCGATTCTGTGTCCGTTCGACGGCAGAGCCTCGGCGCACAATGCAAGTATCCGACGTTTCTGCCAAGGCGAGGTTCTGATGACGTGATCTGATCCATCGTTCGCGCCAATGGTAGCGTCATGATGCCGCCATATACTCGGGCCAGGTCCAGGTCCAGGGCCAGGGCCAGGGCCGAGCCCAAATAACAGTGGACCGGTTGGTGATTTGAGTTTTCAAAGATTGATAGAACAAATTGTGTAGCTGAAATTTTTTTATTAAAAGAATAATAACAATAGAGACAAACAAAATAATTGAAAATGAGAAAACAACACTGGAAAAAGGAAAATATAAAAAAATATGATATATTTATAAATATTTGTTTATTCAAAAAGGAAAAAAAAATATAACAATAAGATAGAGTCATAGAAAAAATAAAAGATGGAGAAAATATATAAACAAAAAACTTAGAAAAAAGAAATGAAAGAAAACAACCCCATGAGACAATATATATATATATATGTATATGTATATGCGTAACTAGCGAAATTTTAAGATTTTTAAATTTTAATAACCTAAGCGAAATTTTGAAAATCGAAAAAATCTCAAGTTTGAAACTTATTTTTGAATCACTGTTTGTATTTTATCTACCAATAATCTATTCCACTTGCTAATATGTTTTTAATCATTTTTTAATCTTTTCTTCACCAATAATATATTTTATTTGATAATTTGCCTAGAAAAAGATATTTTTAACATTAGTTCTCAGTCATAAACTTGTCTAAACTGATCAAATTACAATATGATCACATGTTTTGGATTTTTTTTTTAATTTAAACAAACAAAATAAGGCTAAGATGATATTAATGAGTTATGTAAACAAATAAGTAAGAAAGAGACAACGAAAGGGAAAAGCCTTTAATAAAAATTAAACATATATAAAATATGTAAATATATAACCAACAAGATAGTTAATAAGATATTAACGAGTTATGCAAACAAATAAACAAGAAACATGCATACAGTTGAAGGAAAACGAAAGAGTGGCAGGGGATAACATTTGATTTGATAAAAATGTCCAAAAGATAGTACAAAATATGTAAATATGTAACCACCAACAAGAAGATAACGAACATATATGATTAGACCTTTATTTATATTTATTTATAAAAAAGAAGAATGTTCGAAAATCTGAAAATTACAACATTCATTCATAGCCTTACTTTTCTCAATAAAATATAAAATGAATTATCTCTTCGACAAAATGAAAATAAACAAATTCAAGAATACATGTACTTCAAAAAATGTTAAAAAGAATTTTAAAATTTAAGATAAATATTAAAACGGCTGATTAGCCATCTAAATATATGTATATAGAAAAAAATGGATCATTAAAATTTTAAAAGAAACTTATAAAGTTAAAAAAAAAAGAATCAATTACTAAATAGTTAGTCAGATAAAGAAAAAAAATAGAAAACAATTAGAATTTTAAAATAAATATATATATGTTTTGTATGGTTCAAAGACATCACACATCTTTCTCATGAATAACAGCTTTTTTTGAATTTGATTTTAAAAAAAATAGAGAAAATATCATTTTTCTATACAAATTTTATAAAATGTGGCTTTTTCCTACACAAATTTTTAATTCGACAAAAAACTATATCAAATTATCAAATGTGCCAAATTGATACATGAACTACCCAATTTAACGATAATTTCATATCCAATCCGAAAACGATGTTAAATGTCCATTAACCGATGATGTGGCATGCCATGTGGCGACTGATATATATACGCAGGATTTTCTTGACCTGACTTTTACAAACTTAATAATTGCATGCATATCTTGCGCAACTCACTTTTTTTGAATAAAAATTTACAGATTTTACTAACTATTAGAAAGATACGAAATGTATATTTATTTATACAAAATAAATTATTAAAATTGTCAAAGAAACGTATAAAAAAGTAATCAATTACAATCAATAATCAAATAAAAAAATATACAAAACTATTAGAAGTATAAACAAACATATAAAATGAAAATTTTGTATGTTTACAAAGAAGAAATATAGAAAGAACTATTTATACTAACAAGATATATCTATCATTTTTATTGTCTATCTAAAAAAAATTCAAAATTAAGTGTGTTCGTTTTGAAATTTTTTTACAATGGTTGACTTTCTGATAAATATTTTTTGGAATGTGTGCGAGTGATGACAAAATACGTTGAAATGTTCTTTATTAGCTAATAGGATAATTTCAATATCCGTAATGTTCGAGAGCATTAGAAATGGTATTAGAATCAGAAATCTTTCAGTACGGTTTGGTTTGAGGACGAACCTAATGGAAATTGGTGTGTCTGTGACATCCCGATGCTGATGAAGCGAGAGAATATCACAGATGCAAAATGATACATATAAAGGATGATTCCTGACAAACTTTTAGGTGTAGGGACATAAAAACAAATCGAACGCACCGAATGAGAGAGATTCGAGAGTTGTGAACTACACAGTTAACCATAATTAAAAAAATTTGATTGAGATACTAATACTAACAAGATACATCTATATTTTGGGTTGCATAAATTGAGAGAACTTCAAAATTAAGCATGTTCTTTTTTGAATAGTTTTAGGATGAGTTAGCTCCTGGAAAATAATTCTAAAGATGTGTGCAAATGGGACAAAATACGTGGGAGATGTAGTCGGGTCGAAGGTCCGGTGAACTTTCTAGTTATCAAAAAAAAAATACGTGGAAAAGTCTTGTGTTAATCGGTGAGGACAATTTCAACATTCGTAATGTTTGGGAATATTACAGATATTATATCCACTCCTACTTATTTTATCAGATATATTGGTAATTTGGTATATGTATGTATGATAAATATTAAGATTGTAGATGAGTTGTCTAAATATTAGCGAAGTTACATCATTTCTATTTAATCAGCTCAAAATAAATTATTAAATTTTAAAAAATAAACATAGAAAAGAAATAATCAGTTATCATTAGTAATAAAATAAATAAGAAAATATAGAAAACAATTAGAAGTAAAAAAAAACAAATAAGATGAAAACTTTATATATATATATATATGAAGGATATTTAAGATAAAATTAATTTTTTTTGGGGGTAAAAGAGATAAAATTAATTTATTCATGTAAGTAGGATTTTTAAATGGGTTGGGATTGTGTGGTTTTATATGATTCAAAGGACTTTGAAAATGCGTCACATTTCCTTCTATCCAATTGAAAAGGTTTTTGTTGAGTTTGATAAAAGTATCATTCTTTATACATAAAGCATATTGTCCACACATTAAGCAAATGATATAATTGCACATGTAGTAGCACAATTCTCTTGACTTTTCCTAATAGCTAAAATGCAGTTTATATCGTTATATTTTGATACATATATATATATATATATATTGTATTTATATGGTAAAGATATTAGAAACATCATACTATTTGAGTTGTCACATATCATTGTTGTGGATGTATGATAAATATATCACAACTGTTCATCAGTTGTCTAAATATTATCCAAGGTCCATAATTTTTATTTATTTAGATCAAAATAAATTATTAAAATTATATATATAAAAAACCGTATATTGGGAGGTTGATTACTCCAATAGATATTCAAAGATGGGCAGGTGGTGTAATAAGGCCCAAAATTTATGGGTCTTTTCTTACAAACTAATTATTAATGATATTTAAACCTAAATTAATTTACTTATGTAAATAAAACTTTTAGGTTATTTGGAATTAGGGGTAATCCCATATTCCCCACTAATTTTCGAAAATGTTCTAATTTCCTACACCAATTTTTAATTTCACAAAAAAATTACACCAAATTTTAAATATTTCCAAAATCTCATACAAAATCTTAAAATGTGTTGCAATTTTTCATATCCGTAAACTACGTTAAGTTCCGTCAATTTTAATGCTGACATTACATGTCACGTCACACATATTTTATCAAATCATCACATTTCGCCAAATTGTCATATCACGTCAGAAAATAAATAAAAAATAAAAATAAAAAAATTTCTAGAATTTAAAATAAAATAAAATAAAATAATTTTTTTTAAAACAGTTTTAAAATTTTAAATTTAAAAAACAATTACATATACATATATACACACTTATATATATATATACATACACATCTATGTACATATACATATATACGTGGGTGGACTAATTTTAATTTAGTTATAAATGTATTAAGTTTTAATAAAAATCAATACAATGCCCCCATTAAAATTTTTTGTGTGTGTCCTCTCACTTTTTTGTTTTTATTTTTTTTCTTTTAAAAATATAGCATATATATTATTTGACCCCATTCATAATCTCTTCTGGGTCGGCCATTGCATATATACACATAAATATAATATATATATATATGAGTATATACATATATATATATATATATTCATATATATACATATATATCCATGCATATATATATATATATTCACATGACATGCATATATATATTTAGTAGATGAATGTGAATATATATGTAGATGTATATATATGTCTGTATATGTATATGTATATAATTGTGTATATATATATGTATAAGTGTGTATATATGTATATGTAATTGTTTTTAAATTTTAAAATTTTAAAACTTTTTTAAAAGTTTTGTAAAAAAAATATTTTATTTTAATAAATTTTTTATTTTTTATTTTTTATTTTCTGATGTGGTATGATGATGTGGTGAAATGTGATGATTTGATGAAATATGTGTGATGTGACATACCACGTCAGCATTAAAATTGACGGAACTTAACGGCGTTTATGGATATGAGAAAAATTGCAACACATTTTAAGATTTTGTGTGAGATTTTAGAAATATTTAAAATTTGGTGTAATTTTTTGTCAAATTAAAAATTGATGTAGAAAATTAGAATATTTTTCGAAAATTTGTGGGAATATGGGATTACCCTTTGGAATTACGTTGTTTTGTATCAAAGAGACTTTGATGGCAAAAACAACGGCCAAAAAAAGTGCAAATGGACTAAAGAAACATATTTTTTCATTGATCTGTTAATATATTTTATACATCCTAATAAATCACGTAGTTTATCAAATTGGTAAAATTATACATGTATTTTTCAAATAGTCTAATAAATTCTGCCATAAAATATTTGCTAAATAGAAAAACGGAAATCGGAGGAAAAAACCAACCAATTCAACACGTCGTTATCACCTACTAAATATTAAAAAATTAATAAACATAATAAAATAAAAATTAGTTAAAATAATTACAATACATATATATATATACTTGTATATATATACACATATATATACATACATATATATACCTATATATATTCGTATATACCAAAATTTAAGTGGTATAGTAATAAAAGAATAGACAAAACATGTTTTTATTTCGGGTTTAAATCTAATTGTGGTGAGGGATATTTACCTAGATTTTTCCGGTATTCAAGGAGATGTAATTGGGTCAAAAGTCCGGTGAACTTCCAAATTTTTTAAAAAATATATATATTCACATATATATATATATATATATATACACGTATGTTAGTATATGTTGTAATTTTTTATTTATTATTTTTAAATATTTTCCAGGTGGCGTGAAGGGTGAGGTAATAATTTTTTTTATAAATACGAAATTTAAAAAAATGAAAAATACAAGTAATTTTTGGTTATTTTTATAGACCATAGAGTTTATTTGAGTGTATAAAAGTATATAATATCAAATGAGATAAATAGTGATTTTCTTAAGACGATCCTCCGATAATTCACAGTAAATATCTGGTACGACTCGCATATTTCGTTTTCCTAAAATATTATTGGTTCAACTAAAAAAAAACCCGTAATATATTACACTTCCATTCATCGTATGGTTTGGTTTCATTACAAAAGTATCAAAAGTGCATTGGATTATTTGAATTATCGCTGTGTTGGATAACTGGTGAGGGGAAAAAACACAGAGAGAAGAGCGAGAGACGGAAATTCAACCAAAGAAGGACGAGAGAGATGGTAGTAAAACGGCACAAAGCATGGAATGATACGTACAGTTGTTGAACTCATGCTAATGCATGGTCTGGATATGGTAACATCTTCAAAACTAAGATCTCTGACCAATTATAATATATGTGTTTCTCCGATCATAAACACCCTGCCGAGTTTGCTGCGAGACTAAGAGTTCACGCAATGGCACAGACATTCCTCCCCAACCCCCCGCGCTAAGCCTAGTCTCTAACTAACTGAATGCACGATGCAATGGATTAGGGCCAATACACATTGGAATCTACAGTTGCATGAATGCCTCTTGCCACTTGCCTATTTAAGGACCCATCATATGGTATGGTTTACCAGATACATACACCAAACACTTGCAATCCTCTTACAATGATGTGGGCATTGAGCATTTTGGCGTCTTTGCTTCTGATAGGCATCACGAGATGGGTTTACAGATGGAGGAACCCTAAGTGCAATGGAACTCTGCCTCCCGGTTCCATGGCCTTTCCGCTTCTTGGGGAGACACTTCAGTTCCTCAAGCCAAATATCACTTCAGACATCCCACCCTTCATCAAAGATAGAACCAGAAAGTGAGAAATTTACTCTTCTTTGCCATAGTCTTGATCCTTTGTATCATGGTTCAACCTTTTTGTTTTGATACATGCAGATACGGGCCGATATTCAAGACTAGCCTGTTCGGGCAACCGGTTATCGTGTCCACAGATGCTGAGCTCAATTACTTTGTGTTCCAACAAGAGGGGCAATTATTCCAGAGCTCTTACCCTGACACCTTCGTTCGGATCTTTGGAAGGCAGAATTTGAGTACACTGCATGGGTTCATGTACAAGTACCTCAAGAACATGGTCCTGACCCTCGTTGGCCACGAAGGTCTCAAGAAGATGCTTCCTGAAATCGAACAAGTTGCACGTAGAAAGTTAGGGCTTTGGTCTACTCAGAATTCAATAGAGCTGAAAGATGCAACCGCAAGAGTGAGTTGAGAAACAAAACATCTTTTTCCTTTCTTCAGATAGAATATTCTGAATGATTCCTAAGCTGCTAACATGAACCCCTTCTTTGTCAGATGATATTTGACTTTACTGCCAAGAAGCTGATAAGCCATGATCCAGAGAAGTCCTCAGAGAATCTAAGGGAAAACTTTGATGCATTCATCCGTGGGCTGATCTCTTTACCTTTGGACATTCCGGGCACAGCTTATCACAAATGTCTAAAGGTAAATCATCAATTGCAATACCAAAGTTTATACTTCAAACCATACCATTCTCTGATGTGGTATTGATGCTTAAATTTGTTCTCCAGGGGAGGGAAAGGGCAATGCAAATGCTGAAGAATATGCTTAAGGAGAGACGGGAAAACCCTCGGAAGAACCCGAGTGACTTTTACGATTATGTCATTGAAGAACTGCAGAAAGAGGGGACAATACTGACAGAAGCAATTGCACTAGATTTGATGTTCGTCCTGATTTTTGCCAGCTTCGAAACAACTTCTCTGGCTTTAACTCTAGCCATCAAATTTCTCTCAGACTACCCTTCAGTTCTGAAACGTTTAACGGTCGAACAAACCTCATTACTCTCTCACTTCTATAATTCAAATTGACGAACTTTTGGTTTTCCACTAATCTCAAAGAAAATTTAGAAACAAAATATCATTTTCTCTTTCTCCTTTCTGCAGGAGGAGCACGAGGCTATTCTGAGAAACAGGGAAGATCCGGACTCTGGACTTACCTGGGAAGAATACAGATCTATGACCTATACTTTTCAGGTAGGTCTAGAAATCCAATAAATATCATGCATCCTGTAAGCATGATCACACAATTCTTCTAACCAAATGTTAACTTCTGAATGCAGTTCATAAACGAAACAGCTAGATTGGCGAATATAGCTCCTGTGCTTTTCAGAAAAGCGTTGAAAGATTACCATTTCAAAGGTAAGAATAAGCATGATGCAGAAAGATCTATTTAGTTTAACTCAGCGCCTCCAACTGTAAGCTTACGATAAAGATTTCGCAATGATAATGCAGGTTATACCATTCCAGCCGGTTGGGGACTGATAATCTGTCCTCCTGCCGTACATTTGAATCCAGACACATATGAAGATCCTCTTATCTTCAACCCTTCAAGATGGGAGGTGAGCCAAACTTCTTAGACCCCTTTACACAAGCAACCTCAAAAATATCAGCAACTTTAAAATGGAATCAAACAGGGATTGGAAACCAGTAACGCATCAAAACATTTCATGGCATTTGGTGGTGGCATGAGGCTCTGTGTAGGGGCAGATTTCGCCAAAATGCAGATGGCCGTATTCCTTCACTGCCTGACCACAAAGTACAGGTTCGAAAAATCAATCCCTCACTAAATTACCCCTTTCATGTGCTCGAAGAAGAGAGAAGCTGATTATAATTACTGATCTTTGAAACAACGCAGTTTGCAGGAGATTGGAGGAGGAGATACAATTCGAAGCCCCGGATTACAGTTTCCAAATGGTTACCATATTCAACTGGCATCGAAAGAGACCGCATAAGGTCATAAAACAAACAAGCCGGCAAGTTACAGTGACCAGTTCAGGCTGCTCGCTCAATAAATACAAGCATGGCACATGTGAAAGATGAATAAAATGTACTTCACCATTCTCAAATGGAAAAGCTAAATTCTACAATAAGCTGTAAACTCGAGCTTCTTACTCTTCCAACACAATATTATCACAAGGGCTTTGACATAATCCCTTGTTCCCTAACTAAAAGACCATTTTTTTTCTGCAAATGAACCTCTTATGATTCACAGTTCATTCCGAACTAACCAGCATCAAAGACGATAAGCACAAAACTCAATCTCAAATGCATTCACGTCTGTTGAATTGAAAAGAAAGAGACTTTGGTAAATGAGATTGAGAAATCACCAAAAGGATCGGCAGCTCTTTTCGTCCCGAAGGGAAGATTCTTCTCCGATGAACTCGAAGCCTCGAGGGATCCGAGAGATGAGATTTAGGGATTTAACTTGTTTGGAGGGAAAATTACGGACCTAGGGCTTTTGATAAGATCATTTTTCATAATAGGGCCTGAGAAATTGTATAATACGAAATGTGCACTAAATTATTAAAATTTATTACAATTTAGCCCCTTACGTATTGAATAGCCATGTTTGTTGTCGACGGGACATAAATAACCGTAATAACTAAATAATTTTTAGATTCAAAGAATCAAATACTGCTTTCATTGATTCATCAGAAAATTCCACGCACCATCGTCATTGTCGTCCTCTCTCTCCTCTCTACGATCGAAACCCTAGCAATCCAATTTCGACTTTGAGAAGGAAATCCCTACTTTTGATGGCGTAAAGCTATACGAATTTCAACGATTTAGGGTTTCTGAGGAATCTAAGAAAGGGGCAGAGCACGGGAGAGAAGAAACAATGTCAACGGAGACCACCGGGAATTCATCACCGCACCCGTCATCGTTTTTGACTCGCCATCCTTCCTCTGACGCAATCGATTCGACGCCTTTACTTCTGAACGGCGGAAGCAATAATGGAGGCGCCGGTGGAGGTGGCGGGAACGGTCAAACGAGCGGCCGCGGAGGCGGAGGTCGGCGATCCGTGAGGAGGCAGGGCTTGAGAGAGGCAGCGAGTTTTCTCCGGCGAGCGAGTAGCGGACGGATGATGCGGGAGCCGTCGAGGTTGGTGAGGGAGACGGCGGCCGAGCAGCTGGAGGAGAGGCAGAGCGATTGGGCGTATTCGAAGCCTGTGGTCGTGCTCGACATCCTGTGGAATCTGGCGTTCGTCTCCGTCGCTGCGGCTGTTCTTGTGCTGAGCCGCGATGAGAAGCCAAACATGCCGCTTAGGGTCTGGATCGTTGGGTATGCGTTGCAATGCGTCCTGCATATGGTTTGCGTGTGCGTGGAGTATAGGAGAAGAAGGGCTAGGAGCCAGCGTTCCCAGTCTTCGGCATCGTCTTCTTCATCTTCTTCCATTGATGAAGAAGGTTTGCCTTCAACCAGGAATTCAGAGGAAAGGTACTTGACATTGGGGCAGTATGAGCAAGAAAACAACAGGTATCCTATATTATGTGTTGTCTGTGTGGTTGAATCCTGTCTGTATCTCAAATCGAAAGTAACATAGATACCTGCATGGTGTGTGAGTTTTGGTTTATTGATGTTGCCGAGGTTCTTTGAATTCAATTAGCAGTTGCTTCCATCTGATAAAAAACAAAAATGTAGAGACATGGCTTTTAAGTTTCTTCGTTGAAGATTTATGTCTGTGGGGTCTTTGGTGAAGTTAAAGTATCGAACTTTCCTGGGAGTAAGGGTTGTAATGATAGAGTTTGTTTGAGTTGTTGAGCATGTGGTCCTTTGTTGGTAGATATTCTGAGAAAGGAGTTGGATATGGCATTTGATATACTGAAGCTCGATTCTTCTTTTGGGTGACTTGAACAGCTTTCTTATATACGCTATTGCAGATTTATAGGTTAGCTTAGAAAATTAGCTAGTTTCTATCACCTTCTCCGAATGGTAGGAGTTCTTATTTGAAGTTCTGCTTTGGCATCTAATACAGGAAGTATCTATAGATAATTTTACGATATAATGCTAATTAAAACTATCATCTTTTTGTGTTGTGCCAGAAATAACATCTTTATAATCTTTGGAAACAGTTATGATTATCCGGCTGTAAAGAAGCTCGGGATAATCACTTTATTACTTGGCATCTCTGTGCTGTTCTTTTGTCTATTCGTGTGTTTCCGGAAGGATTATGCCTTTTCTGGGTGAGTTCTTATTTCTCTAACTATTTCCAAAGCAGTGCTGCAAAGCATTTAGAATCTGCCAACACGGTGTTTTCATTCATTTGGTGGATCATTGGATTTTACTGGGTATCTGCCGGTGGTCAAGTCTTGGCACAAGGATCCCCGCAACTTTACTGGTTTGTCTCCTTTACCCTTCTGAATCATATTCAAAGCATATTAACCAACCTTGACTTGTTCAAAAAATGCTTCATTTACTGCAGGTTGTGTATAGTCTTTCTCGGTTTCGATGTGTTCTTTGTGGTCTTCTGTGTCGCGCTGGCTTGTGTGATTGGCATTGCTGTTTGCTGCTGTCTACCATGCATCATTGCAGTTTTATATGCTGTGGCCGATCAGGTTTTTCTTATAATTAGTTTGCCATTTCTTAAAGCTGATTACCATATATAAAGAGGAGTATGATCTGATGCATAACATAATCTCTAATCTGCCTAGCTAGAGTTTTATTCAACATACATTTCCATATGTCATGACTGGACCTCATCTTCCCTCAGATTTTCACTCTTTTCCATTCTCACATCATGTATCAACTCTTCTATGTAATGTGATGAAGCAGGATGGAGCAACTAAAGAAGACATTGAACAGCTTACCAAATTCAATTTCCGACGGGTCTGTGATACTGACAAGCTTGCGAGTGATGAAGTCCAAGGAAATGTCGGGGGAGTAATGACTGAATGCGGCACAGATACGCCCATCGAGCATACTCTGCTACAGGAGGACTCTGTAAGCACACAAAACTTTTCCATGACTCCATCCATTCACACATACATACATTATACATATGCCCATTAACTTAATCAGATATGCCAAATTCACTTTCCTTAATGAATCAAACATGACTGACCCACCAAGAACATATATGTAGGAATGCTGCATTTGTCTGTCGGCTTACGAAGACGGGGTAGAACTAAGAGAACTCCCTTGCGGCCACCATTTCCACTGCGAATGTGTAGACAAATGGCTCTTCATCAACGCCACTTGCCCTCTCTGTAAGTACAATATCCTCAAGAGCACCGACTCCCACGCAGATGAACAAGTCTAAAGCTCTCTCCCACTGTAATTTTGTTAGGCATTTATGCTTCTGCCAAGAACTCCTGTGGCTGGCTGGCTATCTATGTATATCTGTACTTTTGCTTCTTGGCGTGAATATCTTTGCCATTTTTTTAATGAATGGTTTGTACAATCTCTTTTTTCTTTTCCACATTCAAAATCCTCTGCTGAAAGTCTGAATGATGCTTTAGTCGGGTAAGGGATCTAGTGGCTGTGTTCACACAGATAAGTTTTCTTCTTCTTCCTGTCTCTTAAGTGAATTGGTATTAGATCGTATGGAAACTTGGCCAGACTTTTATTAGTGCCAATTGAGAAATTGTGAAAAATGATACCAGGACATGGAAAAGAAAAAGAAAATAGAGCACATTTTATATGATATTTATGTAGAGATGTGGTTAAAAAGGGGAATAAAAGACCAAGATTCAAGGCCTTTTCTGGTAACCCCATGGATTCCTGCTTGCCCAATTCCACTGGTCTCTGCACATTTCCTCCACTCCATATTTTGCCCTGGACCAACAAACAACACAATGATTATGAAAAACACTTGACCACCAAGTTTTCCATGTTATCTTCATTTAAACATTACTTTCAAAATCAAAAACTTGTAAGGTAGTTGGAAGATGAGTCCTAGCAACAGAGGTGCAAGATTCAATCTTTCTTCTATAACAATCCCAAAAAACTTCTAAATTTTGCAACTTTTTTAAGGATGAAAAGAAAATGCAATCTTTTTAAAGATGAATAGAAGCAAAGTTTGCGAGTGAATGGAAGTAAAAAAAGCTCACTTCCAGCCAAGTTCTTTCAGAGCTTTCTCTGTCGAAGCATAAACAGCAGTTGCATCTCCCGGCCTTCTCGGGCAGAGCTTTACAGGGATTTTCTGCATTGTGGTTTTGCAAATTTCTATCAATACGTACAGCCATATACCTACATATGGCATTAGCAGTTTGAGGCGAGGAACCTAAAGGCATTACCTTTCCAGAAGCTTTCTCGAAGGCAGAAACCATTTGTAACACTGATGTTCCTCTTCCAGTCCCCAGATTACAAGCAGTACAGCCTGATAAGAATGAGAAAAACACATGAAACTCACCCAAAAGCAAAGAACTTTTTTCTCCAGAGAACCGTCAAGAAAACACTTGTGAACATTTAAAAGGAAGTGTCTCTGAATAGAATAGAAGTACCAATCTCTGGATCTGCAAAGAGTTTCCTCAGTGCAGCAATGTGACCATCTGCTAAGTCCATTACATGGATGTAGTCTCTGACCTGTAAATAGTAGCAGAAGCACCCTCATGAAAATAAAACAACCTTAAGGGAAAGGCATATCATATGTTAAAGTAGTTCACAATCTATCATAAGCTATGTAAGAAATCACTACACAAATGAGCAATTATGGGTTTTGGATTTGGATTACAAAATGAACTACACAATAAAAATGGGTGGGAAGAAAGACATACCGCGCTACCATCCTCGGTAGGATAGTCGTGACCATAGACATTGAGTTCAGGTAATCTTCCAACAGCCACTTGTTGGATGTAAGGCATGAGATTATTGGGGATACCCTTTGGATCCTCCCCGATTCTGCCACTCTCGTGGGCTCCAACCGGATTGAAGTACCTCAAAAGGATGATTCTCCATTCTGGTTCTGCCTTTTGTATATCTCTAGCTATTTCTTCAAGAAATAGCTACACAAAGAAGGTGTTGAACACCAAAATGAGATGAAACTGATCTCAAGATCTCTCACATGGGTTTGCAACAGAGCATGGTTTGAGGTTGAGGAGGATTCAGGAAAAGGGGGAGAAAAAAGACATAAGGGTTTGAAATTACATCCGACAATTCACCACGAAAACATGAGGCTGGTCTCAAAATTATGCATTCAAGACAAAGCATTTTCAAAGTTTAAGAGCTTCTGTATCCGAAAATTATTTCAAGATTACAGACTCAAAATCCAAATCTCAAAATATCAAATAACTCAGACCATTTAAACTTCACCTTAGTACGACCATAGGGATTCATAGCCTTCAAATCAAAGTCTTCCATGCAGGGGATTTTTTCTGGTTGGCCATAGACAGTTGCAGATGATGAAAACACCATCTGCACATTCCATCATCAGAACAATTTACATAATCATCAATGTGTATCTGAACAAAGTTAAAAAAACACACATTAAATCAAAATTCAGGATCAAATCTAACCATTTTGCAGTTATATTTCGCCATGGTCTCGTAAAGATTGATCGTTCCAATCAAGTTATTGTCGAAATAGCGACGAGGATTTGCAACGCTCTCTCCCACAGCCTTAAGACCGGCAAAATGGATCACCGCATCGAATCTGTTCTCTCGCAAAAGCAAAATAACCAGAGAATTTTTTTAAAAAAAATAAAATCTATGGTTCACAGGAAAATTGCATGTTGTAAAGGTTAAATTTTTACATACTTCTGTCGAGAGAAGATTTTCTCTATATCCCCTTTGTTTCTTAGATCACCCTGCATTCGATCAGACACGAAATTTCGAAGGACTTTAACAAATAGCATGCTCTGTCTCCTCGTAAATGCAACACAAGAAACAGAACTTTTCTCCTCCAACTTTTCCCGGGAACCAAACAGGGAAAGGAAAATGCAGGGACGTAATCGAATCATTTCTTTGTTTTATGTAAAATCAAGGAAAAAGGATTGACGTCTACTGTTGCCAAGTTCAAGCCGAGTTGAACAAAGCAACAATGTCACGGCAAAGATCACAACATCACCGAATTTTCTCGGGAAAATCACAGGCTCTAGGAAGAGAAAGTGGAAAAGGGTTTGTATTTTTACCAAATTGAACTCGAGCTTCTTAGAGAGACCAGGACCAACAAGCTCCCTGACCCTATCGATAGCGTCGACGACAGAATTGTCCAGGTTGTCGATGATCGAAACCCTAAACCCCTCATTCAGAAGCTGAACAACGGTGTGGGTACCGATGAATCCGGCCCCTCCGGTGACCAAAATATTCTTCTCTCCGGAAGAACCCATTTTCAGAGAATTCGACGAAATGAACGCAGGAGCGCCAAAAGGATCAAAACCCACTTCGCAAAATCGAAACTTTTCTGCTGGTTCGGATACCGGAGAGAGGAGAAGATCGGCGGTTGAGCAAATCAAGGGGGGGAAGTTGAGGGTCTTTTATGGTCTGTTGCTTTCGTTGTAAGTAGATAAGAACGCACGCAAAGCGAAATTTAGGCAGAAAGTGGGGCACACATTGGATCATTTTGTTGGTTTCTTTCTACGGTTTTCGATGAATCGAAAACAGATGATATTGATAATGATGCCTGTAGAAATTTACTTCGGCTTTGATTTATGAAATTCAGCTGTTTTTTTTTCCTCGGCGGGTGAAGGGTTTCAATAGTAATAATTCACCAAAAAGAAGAAAAAAAAGCTACTTTTTATGTTTTAAAAAATAAATCTTGTTAACTCGCAGTAATTTTCAAGAATGGTAACTTCGATTTTTTTCCCTTCTTTTTCCAGATTTTTTTTACCTGTACTATTTGGTTTACTAACCAATTTTTACTAATTTTCTTTTGACTTTTACACCAAAAAAAAAAGATAGATTCGATTTTATTTAGTCCGACATGCAACACATGTTTTGTTGTCTCTGAGATGAAAGAAAACTAACGGTTGCTTCGATCTCAAGAAACCCAATTTGAACATCATAACCCGAAATTGAACATCTGCATGAGAAAATATTATTTATGTCTCCAATAATAATGAGACGGATCATAAATCAATCGAATTGTATTTATACATGATTACACGTAGGTACACACACGTGCGTACGTATAGATGCGAAGGAACGGGAAGAGAAGGCAGAAGAGAAGTTTCTAGAAACATCCGAATATTCTCTTGGGTGGATAAGCTTTGGAGCTTGATTTGAGCTTGTCGGCCATTTCTTTCACTTTGATGATTTCTTCCCCCTTTTGTGATTCGATTTTTGCCCTTTTCTCTTCCGCCGTCTTTTCGATTTCGGGTATTTTGTTCTTGAATTCTTCGTTGTATTTCTCCTTCATTCTTTCCAAATCTTCCTAAAATTAGGGTTTAAGCAATCGATCAGTTTGGTTGTGTGTGTATATATAAAAGGACGAATTTTGTATTTTTGAAATGAGAAATATAGGATAAAAGATTTGGGGGTGTAGGATTTAGGGATATATATGCAACATACCTCGATGCTTTTCAACTTGGCCTCTAATGCTGCCTTCTTCTTGTTCTCCCATTCATCTAGGCAACATAGCTCTTTGTAAGCCCTGCGTTATCACGTGCAAATCATCGATTTCAATATATATGTGTGTGTGTGTGTGTGTGTGCGCGCGCGCGCGCGTGTATGTGTGTGGAAATGCTTACTTGGTGTTAGCTCTTGCCTTTTCATTGTCTTCCCATGCTTTGATCAAAGCGAGACTCTTCTCTTTCTCTATTTTATAAAGTTCCTCACCTATATACATCCAATTACACAAATCACAACTTACGTGTATATATATATATATATATATAAGTTCATAATATTAAAAAGAAATCGCAAAATCACCGATTTGAAAATGCAATTTCAATTCAAAGTTCCACGATTTTAGCGTTTTCTTAGGGGAAACATACTCTCGGAGAACGTATGCATATGCATACAATCCATGCATGCACATGCACACGTACTTACTTTCATTCGAAGCCCAAGTGATCTTCTTCTTTAGTAGTTCATCGTGTCCCATATTAGGGTTTCCTTCTTCCCTATTTTCCTCCTCTTCCCCTCTTACAGTTACTGAGATTATATTTTTGCAGAGAAGAATACTTGGAAAAAATTCAAATATATAATTGGAAAAAAGAAAAAAAAATGGAAGAGATTATAGATGAAGTGGAGATCTCCGAGGCTTATGGGGGACTTAATGTTAGGTATGGAAGTTAGATGAATATCCGAATCTGATTTGATATCTTTGTCTTCGGCTTTTTTTCAACTCCAAGAAAACAATTTCGTTGTTAATTAAATAATTTAAATGTTATACAAATAATTAATCCTCAAACCGACCTCCATTTGTTTAAATTAATTGTAACCAACTTTTTGGTTTTGTAACTACTAAAATATCAGACGGCACGCAAATAATGAAATTAAAATGGAATTGAATATTATAAGGAGTCAATACATTATTTACCAAAAACAAAGTCAATACATTAGCTCACAATTAATTTGAAATGGGCCTGAATGTAAATTGGACCCATTAAAGATTCACTAATATTGGCCCAATTGTATATGTGAAAACTTTGGCCCGTGTATAAGCACAAGTTTCTTAAAAAAAGGCGAGAGATTGTTTCTATTTAATCCCATCAAAATTTCTAATGAAAAACTAATTTTTAAAACTTTTTGTTTGATAAATTTATTTAAAAATTTGTAAAATATGTTATTATAACTCTCAAATTTATAAAATATATTATTATAATTTCAAATTTACTAATTAATACCAAAACAAATATGGATAATGTTGATCCAAAAATTCGTTTGAGATTTACTTTGGTATGTTTCCATTAGAGATTAATTTAACATGTAAAAAAAATAATATTCAAATCAAGAGGCAAACCGACCACATAATACATTTTTTAATAGTTTTATTTTTTCTGTGGACTAATAGCTGATTAGCACATAATCCACCCCTTGATTCCGCGAATTAATTCCTTCAGCTTTCATCAAATCATTAGCCGAAATCATCGAATTCGTTAATTTTATCGGTTTACAGGCTCGGTACCGGTTATCTATTGTACCAATTATCACTCGACAAATTTGTATCTAAAATCAAATCGAACCCGAAATTTAATCCAAAAATATTTTCAGATATTTTTACTAATGCTCCATAACTACCTTTCCGATTGTGCAGTTGATCCTCTTTCCCATACACTTAGAGAGGGACAAAAGTGTAATTTAACCAAACTAACGTTAGGAACAAGACAAAAATTTAAATCATGACAAGCCTTGGTTCATTCTAAAACATGCAACACCTGTCTCTTGAGAATTCCACGGCCTCAGGTTTTGATTCTTTCACAATTATAAATTTTTAATTTTTTTTATATTCCTGTTGTTTTTATATATTTTATATATCTAAAATATACGAAAGTGAAAAAATCTATTTCTAGAGTTATTATGAAATCAAATATCGATTCAGAATGATTTTGGGTTGATCACTTATTTAAAAAAAAACAAACCAGATTTTATTTAAATGTTAATAAAAACTTTAAACAAAAAATCTTTTTTAACGCAAAGTTTCAATATAATATCAGAATACAATATCACATTATCAAAATTTTAATATGGTATCAAAGTATAATATTTTATTCGTGACCCTTGATTATAATTTTGAATTTTTATACTTCTTTCGTGTTTCTCGATCCTAATACAATAATAAAAAAGATATTTAATAAAGATGTTAAAATATGTATCGTACGTTGCATCTCTTATAAATACAATATACAACACAATGTAAAAGTAAGTTTAATTGTCGGTGAATAAATGTTGAATAAACACGCAAAAAAAGTTTCCTTTTCTCCCTAATTCATTAATTGCTCTGCTTTAAAATCTAACAAAAAAAATACCTTTTCTGCAAATATATATATATATATATATATATATTTAAAAAAATAAAAACGTGATTTTTTTTCCTTTGTACCATGTTTGTCCCAAAACATGCGACCCAACGCCCATAGAAACATAACCATCCCTTTTGTATAAATTCCTCACTTCAATTCTCGCTATCGTGTTTTTGAGTGAACCAAAAAAAGTTTCTGCTTTTCCGAAAACACCCCCAGCACTTCCCATCTTCACCACTCTCCTTTCTCTTCATCGTCCAAGGGTATTTCCGGAAATCTACATTTCCACGCCATGGACGTTTTCATCCCGGAAGAGTACGTCGTCCGCCGGAGAATGGAGAGAAAAGCCGCCATGACCGCCGGAAAAAAGATGAGAACGTCGGATTCCGGTTCGATAAGACGGCCGGCGAAGGAAAAGACTTCGCCGCCGGTGAACGAAGTTCCGGTTTCTGGTGCCATAGATGAAAGTTTCGTCTTCAATTGCTTCTCTGCTTAATAATCACTAGGACTCGTAAGCGGTTTTGTAAAACGCTAACGCGTATTCGAAACGCAAAAGCAAACGCTGAACGCTATATTTGTAATGGTAGTTATTAGAAGTAGGTGTTTTAACCACGTGAAATTTACTTTTCAAGTTTTCTTCCCAACTATTTCTTTTTACAGTAGTGTGGCTTTTTTTTTAACTATTAATCATAATGTATTTGCCCGGGATTTACCTCGCCTTAACGTTATTTTAGAACAAATTAGTTTAATTAATGACGAATATAATCACAATATCTAGTTTTAAAAACCTAATTTTGAAATAATAATTTTATAGAGTGTAATAAATACTATATTGAGAAATCCAAAATCATTGAAATTTTGAAATTCTAGAAGGTTCATCACTAAAAAAAAAAAGTAAAAGAAAAAAAAATGATTCCCATAATCTCATTATGCAGGCTTGGAGTTATGGCTTCATGGTGGCCCATTTGTAATATGGGCCTAATATATTAAAGCCCGTGTATGAGTACGAGCCCATTTAAAATATCATACAAAAGCCCAATGATTCTTCATTATAGAAAGAACCGACCGGTTAAGGAGAGAACCGAACCGGTGAGTAAGTAGTTAATGGGATCAAACAGCTTCACGTGAGCACATTGAGTTGTCGCTCATGTGACCACTATTCCATATGCTCCCAATCATTTCACTGCTTAGGCTTTTATATCTCTAATATACGATTTAATATTATATTATAAATTATAATTATATTAAATTTTAGTTTTTTTTAATATACATTGAGGGTTTTTTTTTGTCGCAGATATATACATTGATTTTATGAAAATACGAATTACGGTGGTTAGATGACGAGATATCGATATATGGATAGATAGTAAAATATTAGTTGACCATGCCATATATTTAAAATTATTCTATGTATTTCTATATGTATGTTCTCACTTCAATATATATATATATATATATATATATAGTAGAGAGAGAGAGTTTCGTTGTGTTATTAATTATATATATAATTTATAAGCCAAAATAAAGAAGTGCTCACGTTTCATCCACTTATTTTATTTATTTCTACAATTCACATGATACCATTTTTCAGCTTTTTATTCACATGCTGTAATGCTGTGACAAAACGTGAAAAGGAAAAAAAAAAGGAAAACAAATAACAAAAAAAAAAAAAATCTCAAAGCAATTGTCTTTCTCGTGACCAGCGAAGATCTGATCTTAATATTTTAGGATATATGTAACAAAAGTATATTAGTCCAATCGATCGCACCATAATCAATGAAAATGTCATAGAACTCTATTTTACACCGTATTTCGATACAATTTAATTTGAAAATCAGTTAAATTTTATGTTTAAATCTCGAATTCAAATTAAATAAACAATAATAAAAAAATTTACTAAATAAACAAAATACTTTTTCAAATAAATATTTTATAATAAAAGTCAAATCAAATCAAACTTTAAATATATAATCCAAAAAATAAACATTATAAAATCAAAATATGATTGAAATCATTATTTAACTAATTTGATCCCATATGTATAAAAAACTATTAATCATATACAAGATTACATATATATGGCAAAAAGTGCATAGCTTGAGTAACTTTTTATCTTCCATATATATATATATATATGTATGTATGGGAGAATTTGATATTTTTATATGTAATTTGTGCCACTAATATCAAATAATGGTTCTATCATGGTCCAACTGTTGTTATAATCTATCGAGACATATATTTTCCGTAAAAGTTTGAATGGAAATTATGTGTTGAGTTGTCATATAAATAATTTTTAGAATATCTTATGGAAAATAATACGCCAGATGACTTTATAAAGGAAATAGTCCCTTTCACTTCACATGCTCAAAGAGCTTAAAGCAATCAAAATAAAAAATAAAAATATGCAAAATTATTATGTGCATATGAAATTATACTTATCTTATTTCTCAAGCTATCTATCATAAAGAAATATCTAAGCCTTCCAAATTTTTTTTTTACTTTTCTGGTTTTTCTTTTCTTTTAATACCAATTAATGTATGTACACTCATTTTTATATTTGAGAATACCCATTTGAGTTTAAATGTGATAGATTATGGGGTTCCGATATTATAAGAACAATAATAACCTTTGTTATATACATATACATTCACATATATATGTGTGTGTGAATTCCGAATATCAAAATTATCAGTTCAATTTTTTTTCCAAAACCTAAAATTTGCTCGGACGTCCAAATATAACTAATTTATCGATTGGTGATATGTTAATTATGATTTAAAAAAAAAAGTTTAATCTCGCATCGAATACACACACACACACGAGGTAATGCAAGAGCTAAGATTTGTGTACGTATATATGCATGCAATTACTCAATGAGCACAATATATTATAGATAAGCTTAAAAAGCAAGTAATGATAAATTGATAATTGATTAAGGGAGGATTAAATGTCTCTTTGAGTAGAGTTAATGGAAAAGAGACTAATTAGGTGTTTAAAACGACCATTTATCACCATTAATTGTTACTTAATTACATGTAATGCATATTTGTCTCACAAGGCATCGGCATCTCATTCGGTTCTTACTTCTTAGTTGATTGACGCCTCTCTCCAACTATTACAGTATGGACTATATCTATATATATTGAGAAAATGTGCAATGTCACTAATTATTACAAATCATTTTTGCCAATACACTATCACAAATCATTACATTCAATGCATAGTATATAATAAAACTTCCTAATAAACATATATATATACACACGTGTCCTACACATAAATAAGATGTACATGCATGCATGTATCAAAATTCGTCAAGCGGCATTAATACATTAATGAATCTTCTAACCCATCATTTCAGCCTAAGATATATGATGCGCATATATATGACCTTAATTTCTATAATTATTTTGTTCATAAATGTATAGAGGAACCATGGATAAATGAACATGTGCACCAACTTGTGAAAATACAAACCCACCAAAAGGATTATCCTCTTTAGTAGTGATAGGAACTATAAGATGATGCATATGGATAAATGAACATGTGCACCAACTTGTGAAAATACAAACCCACCAAAAGGATTATCCTCTTTAGTAGTGATAGGAACTATAAGATGATGCATTATGTGAGAGAGAGAGAGAGAGAGAGAGAAGAGAGAGAGAGAGAGAGAGAGAGAGAGAGAGACCATCATCTCAAAGTGGCACTCTCTGGTTTATGGGCACGAAAACTTATGGCACCTTTCACCAATTGCCCTTTTTTTAGGTACTTAGTGAAAAATTTGGATTTGAGACCCCATCCCACATGTGGTTGCTCCCATGTGTTCATCATCATTTCTACTGTTTGTTTATCACCCTAGGCATGAATCTATTTGACATTTTTTTTTTGGTTTTGATTTCTAGACTCTTTTGATCTAATTATTTCTATTAATGAATTACAATGTGTTGTTTGTATTGTATTTTGATGTGGTCGGATATTCTTTTAAACACAATGCAGCATGTGATGTATATAAAAAGTACAATATCTATATTTTTATCCAATATCACATCTATCTGATTTTTTTTTTTAATAAGATAAGAATCCATATCTATTATCGTCGGGGTGGATACTGGATAAACATCATCTCTCGTGTAATAATCTGTAAACCGCATGAAAAAAGTAAACCAAACTAAATTACACATAACTGACATGCTCATTAAGAGGATTTAAACCCTCGACATTGAAGGTTAATTAAAAGGTTTAATATTCAACGAAATCACATGAGATTTTTTCATCTCTATATGATTTATTGTTATAAATTATTTTTTTATAGATACACTTGGAATGACATTACAAAAAATATTACAAAAATTGTAGTATAACATATGAGTGTACATATATATACACTAAAAAAAATATGAAATTATAAAAAAAATAGTATTGAAATGAAATAATAAACTAAAGATATTAAGACGAGTGATATAGAAAGAAAGGTCCTTGGCAATAGGTTAGGTTGGTGGTTGAGACAGCTTTCGTGACTTCATTTAACCATAACCGGTCCCTATACCACACCACCACACCTATTTCTTTGTTTCATATATATATATATATATATATATATATATATAATGTGCGTATACATGGATTCGTATAATATATGTTTGGTACGGTATTGGACCGGACCGTAGCAGACTTATATAATACGGTATTTCGTTATACATCTCTACCAAACCGGTTCGTGATTAGACATACGCACTATACATCTTAATCCAGTATGCGTACACTAATGTTTTCGTGTAGTATGTGTTAATTTACACATTATACGTATATGTGTATATATATATGTGTGGGCGTGAATGTGAGTATCCTTGTATTTTTATGATTAAAGTAAAAAAAAAACCGCTGCTCAGCTAGCTAAAATGACAAAAATTCATCATCATGAAAATTTATAAAGTTTCAAGATTTAAAATCATATTTTATGTATGGACCTAAGGGATTTCATAATAATACACAATTACACATAGGATTCCTAATACTTGTCGAATCCTTAAAGGGGCCCCTACGTGAGGAAAAAAAGCATAATCTTTTCTTCTATAAAAATCTTTTTTTTTTTGTTTTATTTTTTAATCTGTGTATCATAAGATTACAAAAAAAATATAGCTGCTTTAATTACTTACGTGCCCCTACAACATAACATTCGCATGAAGAAAATACGTGCCTCGGAATCGGAGTGTAACACAAAATTTTCAATATGTGGGGATTTGATGTCATAAAATTTCTATGAAATCGCATGTTCGATGTCCGAGGATAATCTTAATTTTATATTCCATGGTTGTCAAAATTACTATAGATATAAAATAAACAAACACGGACCTACTTAGTAAATATTGAAATTACTATCAGATTTTTTTTTTGTAATGGGCTATTCATCCAAATGTAGGGTTCGAATTAAAGACCTACCACACAAATTACTCGTTTCACCAATTAAACTATTCAAACTTAGACGATTTACTCTTAGTTAGTGTTATTAAAATTAATTTTAATTTTTTTTTATAACAGAGGACTTCTAACTGTTATCCTTCGGGAGTAGCCTTTATATATGGATCATATAAACCCAGAAATTACCTTCCTCCCCACCGGTCAGGAATCGAACACTCAACCTCAAGGTGAAGTTACCTCCTACCCCAAGCTTGACCACTCGCCCACGATCTGTTGGATTAATTTTAATTATTTAAACTAATGCATCATAAAATTTAGTATTAAATTGTGCATGCATAAAGATAAATCAATATGATAACAAGAAAATTATTACAAAAGATCATCATACAAGATTTTAAAAGATTGTAATAATATTATTTGATAATATTTTTATATTTCAAATATTTATATTGATTAAATAAGATATTATATATTTTTATTTTTAAAATATTGTAAAATTTTATATTGAATAATAAAATATCCAACGATTCACCACTTTTTTTTGTATTATATGATATTTTTTAATCGTATTATTAATATTCGTAATGATAAATATTATCTATATATATATATATATCTCGATCAAAGATATTGAATATTTACAAACAGAGCATATTGTTTGTTTAACAAAAAATGAGTATACTTAAAACGTAGTTTAAGGCAGTAAGACGTGCCATTCATAATCTATATTATGTAATCATTAAATTTTTTGTTAAATATGTAATCATTCAACTAGAAATGTATACTATATTTACATATTTATCCACTAGATATGGTTTTCAATTTTTTTTACCAAACTATTTCTTTGGTGTAAAGAAAAAGCCCATTTCGTGATTCGTTGAAAAAACATAACCTAAGCAATAAATTTCGTGGTTAAACCTTCATTTTCCCCATCTATTTTATATATTGAGAAAATAAAGCAATAAAAAATCACGTCAAAGTTGACCGTTGGCTTTTATTTTATAATTTATTATTTATTGTTTTTGTCTACAAAGCTTCGGGACCCATCTGATTGAATTACCATAATACCTCTCAAATCTCCGAGGCGTGTAAAGCTGACGAAGGACAAACACGTCATTTCGGTTGCTTATCGATCACTGTTTCCCAATTCCCATACCCTAAAGGCCTAAACAAGCAAGCTTTATTTATTTATTATTTATTATTTATTACAAACACAGAAATAAATCTATTTTTTTATACAGAAAAAAATAAAACATATGTAATTAATAGTGGTGCGTACCGTCTTCGGTAAAGCATAACATTTTTTAATCGAAGCTACTGTTCCAAATCTGTCGGTCCAAATTTTATTTGCTAACAAAATTAATAGATAATCATGGACTAATTAAATAATGATACTGTAATCTACTTTTTTTTAGTAAAAATATACTTTTTTAATTTATTTATTTGGATTCTCATAATTAGGTTTTGTATTATATTCTTTTTTCCCAAAGTTTGCTTTTCATATTTGTGACGTTCGTGTTTCGTCGGTTTGGTGATACGAAATAATATAGAATGTAAATACTAATTGTAATTATAATAATGATGATAAATTAAGTGGAAAAACGAGTCGACTCACTTTAGATCTACTCTTTCTTTTTTGTCCCATTTATAAATTCACCTGTCGAGCTAACGCATGCGTCTCTTCTTCTTCTTGCCGTTCAACTGAGTCGAACTCGCTCCGATCTACTGAGGGGTGGCTGGTCGGAGGAGCTCGTTTGGTGTCGCCGGATATATCGAACGATCAGGTGCTACGCATTGGACTGAAGGAGCGGCGTCAATGGCTGTTTCCTGGCGAGAATGGCCGGAGCTCCGGTGAGGAACCGTGCGTCGTCGTCCGCGGTGGTGGTGATCGAATCACGGCGGAGATGTTTAGGTCGGCGAGATGGCGGAGCGAGAAGAACAGGATCAAGGTGGTGTTCAGGTTGCAGTTTCATGCGACTCAGGTAGTGTGACTTTTTTTTTCCCTTTTTTTTTTTCAATTAGCTCTGCGGGAATGGATGAGAGAATCCTCAAGTTCCGTACCGTGATTTGGTGGAGATGTTCTGGGGATGTTTTCTGTTTGCATTTGGGGATTGAGTTTGCTTGCATTGCGGTACTCGGGTCCTGTTTGTTTCCCGAGAAAATGCCGGCAGAAGAAAACTTGAGAGGCTTGTTACTTGAGTTTTGGGTTTTCTAGAGAAACATTCAACTGAAATCTGATATAATCAATTGAAATACAGATTCCCAGTTTTAGCTTACTCATAACAGCATTATCCAACCAAAATTTTAGAATTTAGACCAATGAATTCTGTTTAAAGGGAAGATTTTACAGGACATGGAAATGAGATTTGTCATTGTGAAACTTTCTTCAGGTTCATCACGTGAATGCAGAGGGCCTGACTCTATCTCTGGTCCCTGGAGATGTGGGGAAGCCAACTATGAGGTTGGAGAAGGCAATGGTGATGGAAGGATGCTGCAGGTGGGAATCTCCTGTGCACGAGACCGTGAAATTTGCTCAAGACGCTAAAACAGGGAAGGTTAATCAGAGAATTTATCATCTTATTGTATCAACAACGGTGAGAAAAGTTGGTGGAACTGATGGTTTTAGTTCATCGTCTTTGTATGAACTTTCTAATTCTGTGTGTGATTTTTGCAGGGATCTACGAAAGCTGGTCAGGTTGGAGAGGCTTCGATCGATTTTGCTGATTACGCTGATGCAATCAAGGCTTGCAATGTTTCTCTTCCCCTTCGGAATTCAAATTCGAAAGCAATGTTGCATGTTAGCTCTCTGTCCCCATCTCATTTAATGTTTTTCATGTGATTTGCACTTTTAGTAGCTGAAAATTCACGAGAACTGTGACACTGAGCGTAGAACTGCTGTTCTGATCAGGTATTGATACAAAGGCAGCTAGAAGATGCTGATCCACAAAGGTACATACAAGAAACCAAGTTGCAGATTCTTGGAATACTTTTTCTTGAATTTCATATAGAAATGGGAGATTTTCTGCATTTGTGTGAGCAGAGATGTGGATGAAAGCGAGAGACTGAAAGAGCAATCCGTTGTTTGTGTTTTAAGCACCGGAGATGCAGATGAAAGCCACAAGATCGATTCAAAAGAGGTATATACACTAGATAGTTTCCCTTCCTGATAACTGCTCTCGTATTTCTTTTTCATCGTTACCCAAATGGACGGTTTTGATTTCATTTGGTTGAATTTAAGTTTAGTGGCATAGCTATTGATAACTCAAGGTTTCAATTATCTTGACCTTTTTTTTTTGTCCTGTTACAACAGAATGGGCTCTTCAGCAAAGCTGCCCGGATTGCTGAACTGAGGCGTAGAGCCTCTATCGAGTCTGATAGTACAATGTCAAGCTCTGATAGTGTCCCTGAACTGAATACTCCAGGAGAATTTGGAAACAGAGACGATAGAAACAAATCTATGTTTCTGGGTTCAGCTACAAGTCTGTCTGAAGCACCTCATGTGTCGGAATCTGAGTGGTCAGGAAGTTCTGATCATGGAATCAGCACTGATGACTCCACCAACAGTTCGAACGATACCATGCCGAGGGACATGTCGAGGAATTTGTCTGATGTCGAGACAGAGAAGCTTAAATCCGATCTTGTTGCTCTGACAAGGCAAGCTGATCTTTCGGAACTGGAGTTGCAGAGCCTGAGGAAGCAGATTGTCAAAGAAAGTAAAAGGAGCCAGGATCTACTGAGAGAAGTGACAACCTTGAAGCAGGAGAGAGATTGTCTGAAGGCAGAGTGTGGGAGGCTAAAGGTGTCTGAGAATCGCAAGGACGAGATGAAGGTGAAGAACAAATTGCAGTATGAAGGCAGGGATCCATGGATTCTTCTGGAAGAAATCCGACAAGAACTGGATTACGAAAAAGATCTGAACTCAAATCTTCGGCTACAGCTCCAGAAGACCCAAGAATCAAACACCGAGTTGATTCTTGCTGTGCAGGATCTAGAAGCAATGCTTGAGCAAAGGAATAACGAGGCAGAAGATATATCTCCGAGACCAGGAACTGGCGAGAACATGGAGGAATCAAGAAGGTCTTGCAGAAGTGAGACGGATGAAGATGAGGATCAAAAGGCGTTGGAAGAGCTCGTGAAGGGACACACAGATGCGAAAGAAACACATCTCCTGGAGCAAAAGATCAAAGAGATGTACAATGAGATTGAGATCTATAAACGAGACAAAGATGAGCTCGAGATACAGTTGGAGCAGCTTGCTCTCGATTACGAGATACTGAAGCAGGAAAATCACGACATCTCGTACAAGCTAGAGCAAAGCCAACTACAAGAACAATTGAAGATGCAGTATGAATGTTCATCTTCGCTTGTCAATGTGACCGAGCTCGAGAATCAAGTCGAGAGCCTGGAAGCCGAGCTCATGAATCAGTCTGAAGAATTTTCAGAGTCATTGGGCAGGATTAAAGAACTCGAAAAACAGATTAAGGGCTTGGAAGAAGAGATGGAGAAACAGGCCCAGCTGTTTGAGGCAGATATCGAAGCCGTGACCCATTCTAAAGTCGAGCAAGAGCAAAGAGCTATACGAGCTGAAGAATCCCTGAGAAAAACGAGGTGGAAGAATGCAAGCGTTGCCGAGAAACTCCAGGAAGAGTTTAAGAGGCTATCTGTTCAGATGGCTTCTACATTTGAAGCAAACGAGAAGATGGCTATGAGAGCTATGGCGGAAGCCAAAGATCTTCATATGCAGAAACGTCAACTTGAAGAAATGCTAAAGGATGCTAACGATGAACTCAAAATGACTAAGAGTGAGTACGAGGCAAAGCTCCACGAGCTTTCAGAGCTGGTGAATCTTAAGACGGATGAGATGGAGAGAATGTCGGAGAATCTTGATGAGAAATCCAAGCAGATAGATTACCAGAAGAGGCATGAGGAAGACATAACTGCGGAATTAACCCGAGAAATCACAAGGCTGAAGGACGAGATCAAGGGCCTGAGAAAGGACGAAAATACCCTTCTTCTCCAAGTAAAGGAAGCAGAAAACCTAAGAATTGAGTTGGAAGAGATGAGAAAATCGATCGAGGAAGCTGAGGCATCAATACAAACAGGCAACGCTGAGAGAAACGAGCTATCGAGCATGATAGCCTCGATGAATGAAGAGTCAGAGTCTCTCACGAGGGAGTTGCACGAGTTGAAGTGCACCAGGGACGAAAAAGAAGCGGCTTTTACCGGATTACATGCAGAAATAGAAACCATCAGAGCCGAGTGTGATGATCTAAGGCATTCTTTATCTGAGAATGAGTCCGAAAACGAGAAGCAGAAGAAGCAAGTGGCAATGTTAAAAGGCGAACTGAGGAAGAAGGAAGAATCAATGGTCAATCTGGAGAAGAAGCTGAAGGAGAGCAGAGCGGTGATTAACAACGTAACAAAACCCGGGATCCGAAACAAAGGCGGTTCAGTGGCTCATGCTACTAAGGAGGTATCCAGTATGAAAGAGAGAATAAAACTGCTCGAGGTAAGGGCATAGCACGGTAATACTGAAAACTAGGTATCCGTCTAAATAATCTCGCATTTGATGATAAAGTTCAAAACTTTCGTATACCAGGGACAGATCAAGATGAAGGAAAATGCATTGGAAGCGTCTTCGAACATGTTCATCGAGAAAGAAAGGGATCTGAAGAGCCGGATCGAAGAGTTGGAGACAAGACTTGAAGAACTCAATCAGAACAATGTAGATGCAATGGTATCAGACAAGAGGTATGTCCTAAACCGGAAATGTTGTCATGTATTCCCGTACCAAACTTCAAACCGAACTAAACCGATTGTTTCTCGTTGGTACAGCGATGAACTGGGAAATCTGGAAACAGAGATAGCATTGCTGAGAGACAGAAACAGAGAGATGGAAACCGAACTGAAGGAGATGCAACAGAGATACTCAGAGATAAGTTTGAAATTTGCAGAGGTTGAGGGTGAAAGGCAACAGCTTGTCATGACTTTACGCAACCTTCGGAATGCAAAGAAGAGCTAATTTGGATTTATACTATAACTATACCGAAGTAAACCGGATATCATACGAGGAAAAAAAATATAATAATAATTTGTACAAATATCTGTCCTGTTTTTTTTTTCACTATAGTTTTCCATTTAAATATTTTTTTAAAAATTTGTTTTGGTGTATGTATTGTAATATCTAATATGTAAGGGGTTTGTCATTGATATATAATTTTTTCATTTTTATGGTGTCGTTCGTGTGAATTCAATCTTCGGTTCTCTCTGTTCTTTACTTCTTAAGGTCCAGTTTGGTACGGGCTTAGGGCCCAATGTCTAATTGCCAAACCAATTTCGGGTTTAAGCTGTTTATAACCTAAACCGGTTACCGGTTTGGCTTGGATTTGTATTGACGGAACCGGGTCACTAGTCAATCAATAGCCGAGCGCTAAATGCCAATGGCCCCCTCATCAACATCGTCCGACTTACTAAATGGATAACGAGGGTTTCAACCCAACCAAAATCCCTTTCCTCAAAATTCATTGTTTACCATTACAATAAAAATGGAACAGCAAAATTCTGCAGTCACTTGAGTAAAAACACAGCAGCAAAAAAATCCTAAGCACTTCATGGTTATGACAAAACCCCTTCTGAAAATACATCTCAGAAGAGAAGGAGACACATCCAAATGTGTACAAACCAGAGAGAGAGAGAGAGAGAGAGAGAGAGAGAGAGAGTACCAGCTCAATGAGAGGAACGAGAGTAATGGTTGTCGTTAGGGTTCCTCCTTTGGCTGAAAACCGCCAATGCCTTTCTCACAGGAGGCCGAAGTGGAGCCTTTTTATCGTTGTGGTGCATGAACACGTCGTCTGCCGTGAAGAACTCATCTCCCTACCAAACCCAAAAAAAAAAGCTTTCACAGTTGTTTTTTTCCTTTTAATGATGAATCCTCTAGAGAGAGAGAGAGAGAGAGAGAGAGAGAGAGAGAGAGAGAGAGAGAGAGTTTTAGACTGACCTTCTTGTTTCCTTTCTTCTTTGTCTTGGGGTAAAGGAACTTCTGAGGGAGTTGGTCTTCACGTAAAACCGGGTTCTTGGCTATTGCTCCTCTTCCTCCTTGAGGTAATGGCAATGAGAACTGACCCCCACCAAAAAAAAGAAACCCATCATCATGTATTCACTCTTGAAGTATTATACCTAATGACTCAACCTTAAGTTGGTCCTCTAAATTCTATGTTTTCATTCCTACACAGTCTCAGAATGGAGAACAAGAGATTATTTTCCTTTTCTGAAAAATATCCGAATTGCCCAGAAATCCATTAAGAGTGTTTATATTTGACGCACATAATCAAAAGGTGTTTTTCTGGATAGGAGTGCTTACTTTGGTGCCACGGAGTATAATGCGTGGTTTACGTGAGGCTAAGATGGTGCCATTCTCACCAATGGTGACTGCTACCTTGCGTAGAGTGCCGCCATTACCACACTTTGGACAGAAAATTCTCCCGATTTCATAAGTTACAGTGTAACAAGCATGGCATTTCAATATCCACCTGAAGATGCAACGAAGATAGTGTGAAAGGGCAATAGAGCTTTAAACCCGAAACGAGCAAATCGCATGGTTATTTACCTGTGGAGTTGACGGATTTGCATTCCTCCGGGTGCAAGTAAGCGCAAACCCATCTGGAGAATAACGTTTTGCATGGCATAGTCACCGGTTATACAAGCAACGCTCGATTCAGACAAGGCTCTCAATGTCCAACTCTGTTCACTGACACCGTCATCATCAGCAGCCGATGATGCCTCAACAGTTGTATCCTCAGCCTCACTAGAGATCTCCTCCATGTTATCCAACCCTTGCTTTGATGCCTCCCCGCCCTCTTCATCTATTTCAAAATCATGTCCATTCTCGTTCTCATTCTCGCCAAATGCCTCATCAGGACCTTCTTGAAGTGCCCTTAATGAATCTTCCTCCAACCTCAACTGTTTCAGAATGGATGAAAGCTCATCATCGTTCTTTCCACTGTCGGCCCCGCCTCTTCCATTTACATCGTCAGAAATTTGACTTGACTGCTCAATGACATTTCCGTCCGGGGAATTGTCTTGATCTTGCTGAAGCTCTTGCTCGGCCAAGGCACCATAGTATTCCCGCCTGGCTTTTCTTCTAAGGTATCTCCTGTGGGTGCTTCTGCTCACTGCAGGCTTCCAGTCACCACCGTCATCTTCATGCTGTCCTTGTGATGCATCAACTCCCTCTGCTACCATCTTCTTACCCTCGATGTTTATCTCCTTTTTCTTGGGCGGGTACCGTCTATACCTTCTCCTACCTTGCTCATCCTCTTCTTGATGCTCGGGACGAGAATCGCCATTTGTGGCAACAGAACCGGCCTCAGAACAGTTGTCTGAAGATACAATGTTCATGTTAAGATCTTTGAGGGGAAGGATTCTGGAGTTAGAGTTGGATTTGTCCTCTGTTTCATTTTCCAAGGCTTCCCACTCTGCCAAATTAGGCACATTAGATCCCCAACCAGGCAACTCCTTTTCGGGCAACCTCTTCACCTTAACTGTATGAATCGGTGGAGGGACGTCTCTTAGATATTTAGTCCCGTGAATCTGAGCCTCAAGCGTATATGTCAGGGCAATCAGCTTAAGATCGACGTCGGATAGAGTTTGCAAGTCACCGGTCTCCTTAGCAAATTTAATGACTGCACCAAATCAAACAAAAGTCTGTCTGAATAAGAGATTCAAGATATTTTGTCTTTCATCATATCAAGTGGAAATCTACAATAAGCAAAATCATGCACAAAACATAAAAAACAAACTTCAGTGTAAAATTGACAAGCTCTTCCAGAACACAGACGTCTTCTCTGCGAGAAAGGTACCTCAAATTCGGGAATTGCACAATAAATCATCAATGATAACATGTTCTTCAAAATTCGACATTGAATTCAAAAGAATTAAGCTATAATCTACGGATTAACAGGAAAAAATCATTAAGAAAACCTCTATAAGAACACATTGATATACATACTTCAGATTCTTTAGTGTGATAGGACACAGAAAGAGATGTACATACACTTGATTCAGCCATCAATTTCAAAGAAAAACTGATTTTCAACACTTATTCAGCCATTGTTTGCAGAGCAAATTTGCTCAGCCCGAGAACGCACACACCCTTTTACATAAACTGTGTGTATATGCCAAAGTACGTACCTTTATTCAGAGATTCAGGTGAGGGTTCCATGGCATCGATCGTGAAGGGAATAAAGGCAAGACGACGACGAGAGACGGGGTCACGAATCTCGGAGAGGACTTCAGGAACAGTGACGAACTTGTCGGCGAAGGAGGAGAGGTTCTGGCCTCCCTCGATGACGGCGTTCGCGTCAATCACAGCCATGGTTATCCCCTTCGTGGAATTGCAGTTTCCGACCATCCCAAGCGCCGCAGACGCCATGCCGTGATGGGTGGCCGGAGACTTCGTCTCCGCCGGATCTTTCTTTACGATACTACTCCACATCGAGCTTGTATTCGGATTCGCGGTCTGAGTCGGATTCGTGTCTGGTGATGTTAGCTCTGTCTCCATGGCAAATTGTTCAGCGAAGGCAGAGAGACTGAAGAAAAACCCTAGTGGTAAGGGGTGAAACCCTATTTAATTAAGGAGCGAAACGACGACGTATCCGATTCGCAATATGAATACACAATAAGATTAGATTACAACAGATCCTGAAAAAAATAATATTTTTATTAAATAAAAAAGGAAGCCTACCCATTGTCGGGGAAGGAGAGAATTACGTGCCATTTAAATTTTTTATTTGTTATTTATAGCATCAGATTGTCGTAGAAAAATAAAGTTACCGTTAGATACTCAACGTAACTAAAATAACTAATAGATGTACGTTTAAATAGTATAGTTTTACCTTTCTTCATTGACTTGAATAATGTTCAAGATGTAATAATATTCAATGAATGATGACATATATTAGAAAACTCGAATTTTAACTTAACTGTAATTTGAAGATGCAAAAATCCAACCTAATTTAAGGTAAATATGTTAATATAAATCTTAATATGGATGGTGTTATGAAATTTTCTTGTGACGAAAAAAATGTACGATCTCTTAAAAAAAAACCGGGGAATGTATCACAAACCCATTAAATGCCCAATAGAGACAATTATGGGCCTTAAGGCCCATCTTACTATATCTAACGCCTACGCGCAGTGAAGGCGCGTGGACTCAAACGGGCTCAAATTCGATGCAATATAGAGATAAAGGCGCGTGGAAGCCTTTTATTGGACACTGTTCTGATTTGTTCCCGTAGCCTTTTCATTTTAGTTTTCTCAATTTTTTTTTTCGTTTAATTGATGCGGCCTAATAAAATTGAACAATATTTTATGGAAATTTTATTTAAAAATTGCAAAAAATATATCCAGTGCTTTTTTATCCATTGAAAGTTTTTTTTTTATAATTTGATTAAAATACGTATGCATTTTGAAAATTTCTATTTTCATAATACCAAATCAAATAATATCTTATCTTTTTTTTAATCAAAATAATCAAATCGAATAAAAAAAATAAAAAACTAATCTCAAATCAAACCGGTATACAATTATATATATATATATATATTTATTTATTTCCATTATTTTAATAATTTCTTTTTACGCAACAAGACGTTCTGCAGGTAACTAGAGATTTAAAAAGACACACCACTTACCTTACCTATTCGTCTATGTCTATTTTCAATAAATTCATGATGCTTTGTCAAACCTATATACGTATGTATATATATATATATATACACATACATATCATCAAGTTATTGTTGGTAGGGATAGACGTTTCGGTTCGGTTGGAGCCGAATTGAAAATCTCAATATTTTTTTTCTAATTTGACGGTTCCAAATTCTTGAACAATATATTTTTTAATAAAACCGTTTTTTTAGAAATGAACCGAATTTTATAAAATTTTCGAAAAACCGACTTTTTTTTTTAAAATAAAATCTATTTTTTTTAAAAAAAACTCAAATACCGTAACTGAAACCGAATAATATACGGTACTAATTTGACACAAATTTTAGAATACCGAATAAACCATTTTCAAACCGAACCGCTAAAATTTCGAACCAACTCCGGAAACGCATACCCTAATTGTTGCATTCATTCACTCTAACTTTTCATAAAGATGAATTTTTTTAAAAAACTATTAATTTGTTTCCCTGCTGAATCACAAAGAACATCTCTCCTTTGGTTTCGGGTGTCTGCAGATACCAAAAACGGCGTCAAGACACAACAGAAGAAACAAGAAAACCCATCACCAGAATCCAAGAGTTCCTGAATAATATGATGATCGATGCCTTAAAAAAACACATGAAGAAGGATCCTTTCAACACTGAAAATGTTATGAACTCAGAGAAAAAGAAGAGGGTCTCATCCTTTCCTAGGAACTGACTGACTCCAATCTGGAAATTTTCCTCTGAAACATTTCCCAGAAAATCCCCACAAGTAAAAAATAAAAAAAAAATCTACAACAACACATCTATGTACTACTACAACTGCTACTACTAGCATCATGGCGATGGGAAGAAATATGGAGTTCATGTTATATAGTCAACCACGGGTCAAGTCAATACCAGGCCATCCGGTCAACGCAGGAGGAGCCGAGTAGTTGGGTGACTGAGCCGTTGGTGGGGTTCCCATGTTGTTGTCGTCTCCATTGTCTTCCTTTGGACAGTTGTTCTCTTGCTTGCTTGTCTTCACCTTTGAGCTTCCGTATACAAAGCTACATGCCACCACCTGAAAAACACCACGAGTTTCGATTCAGACCAATGTGGATCAGTTCAAAGAATGGTGGGTGGAATGTAATCCTGGTAAAAGAAGATCATGGCCCATGATCCTAAATGGTAAATTTTTTTCCAAGAAAACGAAGATATTTTCGACGAATCTGGTCACAGAGACTTTTTCAGCCAGTGAAAAAATCCAGTTGAAAGGTAACTTTTCATGTTCAGGGTAATCTAAAGTGTAAATCTTTTTCCAGAAAATGAAGATATTTAAGACGGATCTAGTCACAGAGTTTTTTTATGTTCAGAATTCATATCCAACACAGCCAGTGACAAATCCAGTTGAAAGTTAACTTGTCAGGTTCAATTGCATGACTTAATGATTATAAGAGAAAATGACAAAACCTGGACGAGGCTGGCTGCAATAAGCATTCCAACTCCACCACCAATGACATGGCCTTCGGGGCTAGAAAGCGATACACTAATACCACCACTCCGGCTTCTGGGGCCACCCTCTTCATTCACCAAGTAAGATCCCGACAAACAAAGTATCTCAAACCGCCCCTACACATAAACGTTTACCAAGAACGTTGTACTTACTTGATGACCATTTTCCGAAACCAAAGCCAAGAGAGATGAATGAGACGAGATTGAAACCTCGAACTTCAAAGAAGGCACTGTGGATGCAGGTTGACGTAACGTTACTGATGAAACTGTTCCAGTGCCGGACATTATACACACGGCCCTTGGCCTTTGTTGCGAGAACGACAGAATTTTTGACACTATATCCTGCAGAATGTGATCAAAAGTATTGGTAATTTGTTGCCCACATCATAAATTCAAATGGCAGGCATAACGCAATAAATGGACCTAAGGATCGATTTCAAACCCGATAGTAAGATGGTCAACATGAGCTTTGAGCTCATGAAGATGACAAGAATATGATATAAAATCCCCCAGCATTTTTTATTAACACTAGAGCATCATTCTCGAAGTGAACAACAATTCTATGATTTCTTCTATCATTATGTATTCAGCAAAGACAAAATCATAAATTCCAAAATCAAGTAAAAGTGCTACACGTATATAGACATAATAAGTTCATTCACTACACAGATACAGGAAGCATAGACACAGTCATAACCTAAAAGTTTAGAAGGAATCGGCATATACCTCCCCTGCTCCAACACTGATCACATGTGGCGCAAAAGCAAGCCCGGCTGAACTGTTCATCCACTCGCCTAATCGTGAACACATCGGTGAAAATAACTGAGTAAAGCTGCTTCCGAAGTTATAAACTCAGGATTGCATCTCATATCTAACCAACAGATTCCAATTCACCCAGAGCCCAATGCCCATTCATGTAAACATACCCAAGAGATTCCATGACCAGGATAGAACATTAATGATAAGTCATGCTTAAATCCTAAACGCCTGATGTCAAACACAAAGAAAAACCTAGGATTCAGACCAAGTCCCCATTAACCTCCTCGATACAACATCAGCTATGAAACAACACAGTGAATGATGTACTGAAAACATATTAAACTGACAAACAAACAACGTGGATTAGCCAATTTACTGTCTTGAAGGGTCGAGTCAATAGCTCAGAACCAGAGTTTAAGCATATTCCTACAGCAGAGTTAGAACAACTTCTGAACTCAAATCCCGATTTTTATAATTCATCCAAGATCCCAAATTCAGCAATTTCACAAGACTATCACGAAATACAATGCTAATACCTAGGAAAAAAACCAATATTTCAATGAAAATCTCACCAAGATTAGCCAACCGCTGCTTCCTCCCCGTTCCCGGAGGCCGGCCTCTGGCTCGTTTCGGGGCATTGGGATCGGACATGAAAGACCCCTTAGGTTTATTAGCTGAGGGGAATGAAGAGAGCCCGAGAGAGACCTGACCATCAGGAGCATATTTCCTCGGCCGTCCACGCTTCTTCTTCACCACCGGCTCCGTCGCCGGCGTCGGCGGTTGCACCGCCGCGGAAG